GCCACTTTACTGAATATTGGAGAAAAGAAGGCAGACGGAACATATGTTTTGAGGTTATGGGTGTTGTAATGTTTTAGCAAGGAAAGGCTTGAATGCCGCATGATACGCAAACCAAAGGTGAGGCAAATGTTCCTCGGCAACTCTTACGTTTTATCTAGTCCTATGGCTGCCCCCTCCTTTGAGGAAGAATTCGATCAGGATCCCAAGAATCCTCCCCTTGGCGTATAAAATGTGTCACTACTTTTCCCCACCTCCTCTAGCCTCAAGCTAGTTCAGCAATGCTAAATATGCATGCATTCAACTTTACTTGCCCATCCGCTCTTGTCCTTGCAATCATCTGTCTCGCAACTGCGGTGCCCACCTCCGAGGACATTCATGCAGACCCAGGTTCTGGTGCTGTCATTCATACAGTGGGCAATGTCCCCGAAAGTGCTGTTATCAAGGACACAATCGCCACCACCCATTTGACCGCAGCCATCTTGCCTACTGATGAAACAGGTGGTTCGACGCTGAAGCCTGACTCTGCGCAATGTGTCACAAAAGGCAAAATTTGCTCCAAAGATAGTGATTGTTGTAAAAAAGTCTGCTTCCCAGTGCCATTTGGTAATGGGGTAAGTGCTCTGCTAAGCCTATTAATCACTGAAAACCTCAATGATTGACATCACCTTCACTTTATCAAGGGTGTTTGCATGTTCTGAGCGACTTTTGGGGACAGACGCAAGTTATCGTGAATAGGTTGGGTTGTGAACCAGGAGAACAGTAACGTATGAAACTCAAGTTCGATATCAATTGACTCTGTTTTCCTATCACGTACCCATCTTTTAAAAATACGTGAATCTGTCAATGCACACTGTGACCTTTATCCCAACTTTATCCAATTACTTTCAAGGATTAAAATATTTGTGGTAGGCTTTGTTGGGACTTGAACTATTTGTGAAGGGCGTGTATGCAGTATTCGAATCAAGAACTTCCCATAAAATCTTATTCTTCTCTGAGAATGATGAAAGCCAGCTGCTGCCAGTATATTCACCTCACTGATGTATTATTGCATCCACCCCTCAGATGACTCAACCACGCCGCAACGAATGGGTAGGAGGCTGTGATGTATTGGTAAACGAGATTGGCACGAAAGTTCTGTTGCTCGCTTAGGAGGTGAAAGTTGATTTGATCTAATATAATTGACACGGCGAATCATAATATGTGCCACTGACTAAAACAAGTCCAAAGATAAGGCAGTACTTTACACTCCCCAGAGTATTCCATATGGACTCCATGGAAGGGGGATGGATTCCACAAATATCAGATGGATTCTATGGAATGGTTGATGGAATCCAAGCTTTTTCCAGATGGATTCCATCGACTTTTTTAGATGGATTCCATACCATTTTCA